TTGTAGCATTCTAGATAAATACTAGATGGCAGTCAAAATTACTGTAAAAAGTAACAAGTGGCAGAAACTGTTTAAAACCAAAGATACATTAGCTCTCACAATATATCCTTATATATAATAAGTATATAATAAGGATGTAAGTAATATCCTTTCTGAACCACTCTTCAACAATTTAATAGGAAATGAATGAAACATGGTGTCCTGGGTTCAGCAGTAGCAGTCATTTTTCTCCTTCTTGGTAGCTGGTGCAGTGCAGTGTTTTGACTTTTGACCCGGGAACAGAGCTGATAACAGTGATGTTTTGGTTTGGTCAAGGACTTTGTGAGTCTCATGCTCTGCCAGGGAGGAGGGGAAGCCGGGAGGAAGCAGAGACAGGACACCTGACCCAAACTGACCAAAGAGGTATTCCATACCACAGCACGTCATGCCCAGGATGTAACTGGGAGTTGCCCAGAAGGGCTGGGAGACTGCAGGGTTGGAGGAGGCATCGGTCAGAGCTTGGTCAGGCTGGGGGGGGGCGAGTTATCAGTCAGCTGGTGCTGAGGTGTTGTATTCTCTTGTTATTTCCTTCATCATTGTTATTATTGGTGGTAGCAGCAGTGATTTGTGTTATACCTTAGTTACTAAACTGTTCTTATCTCAACCCATGGGAGTTGCATTCATTTCGATTCTCCTCTCCGTCCCTCCGGGAGTAGGGGGAGGGCAAGAAGGGGGGGAAGTGAGTGAACAAGCCGTCTGACTGGGTTGAAACCACGACACATGGTATCTTTACTACATTAGTAGTACTACATTACTTCCAACACTGACTAGCTTTGATCTGGTTTTCAATTAAAAAACAAACACAGAATGACAATATTTCTTTTTCTAGGACTTTACAATAATTTCCTAGAAATGGACTGTCAGACAATGACAGGGCTTAGTCATCATAGCAAGTCTGAGAGCTGCAATGGAACAGGGAGATCTGAGACATTTGACAACACTGGCAAGTTGTTGTGGTGAATCTACATTCTAGCTAAAGTAGATTTAGCTTTATCTAAAAGCAAGCCAGTTTTCTGAAGCAGAAAACATGAATGATGTATAAGCGCCTGAAGATGTATTTTCAAATAACACAATTTAAAAAAAAATGAGAACAGTTAGAAATGCCACCCTCAAACAGTTAATAATGAGTCTCTCTAGTAACCAAGTAAGATCAAACAGAAAGAGAATAGCAGAAGCTCTTCTCACAGTATACCCCAAAAGGCCACACAAAGCGTGTGAAAAGAGGGCTGAGGTCATGTAGCTCACCATGAGGCACTGAACCTCTGAGGAACTCACTTCTTGCCCTTAATTCTGGGGGAGTGAATTCACACCACTCCAAATCACTGCTGCAAATACTGTCATTGGAGAAGCCTGATGGGAGTAAAAAGAAGTGTGATTCAGTAAATACAGGCAGATTGAGAGTCCAGGTTTCTAAAAATTGTTTATGCAACCTAAACATGCTTTCTAGTCTGTGTTTATTTCTGGCTGTGGTTTAGTATGGCCTTGGTTTAACTTGTCATGCTTCAGTTCACCAGTCTGTAAAGCAGGTTCTTACATCACAGCATCTGTTTGTAATCAGCTGGAACAAAGTCTAAAGCAGTCCCTAGCCTCCCCTAAACTCAGGTGATACGGAGTCCAGGTTGCTCAGTGTTGCTGCAGAAACTGTCCTTAGTGGAGCTGCAGTACATTTCTTTGACCTCATCAGCACTCAAACACAAACCATCAAGTATCATGAAGTGCCCCTTGGCATTTCATGCACCATTACCAAGTATTTGTTTTGTGATTAAAACATCACTGGTACACTGTTGCACAATTTTCATTGAGGATTCTTTTAATTCATTCTGATATTTGGAGACAGATCTGACAGGATACGGCATCTGACAGATGCAGGTGGATACTGAAGTGATAAATCTGTAGAGGAAAAAAAGAAAATCTAATCTATGTGGATGGCATGAATGGGTTTTCTTTTCTGCTTTCCAGCTGCACAAATCCAGATAGATTTGGCTTTCCCAGGAGCCCCAAATAGGGGCTTCCCCCCCCCCCCCGCCAAATTGTAAATTTTTTTTTTTGGCCTTTTTTTTTTTTTGTCTTTTGGTTTGTTTGTTTGTTTCCGCTCCCCTATTCCAGACCCAGAACGTGAGGCTTTGAGGTATTTATATGCTGCAATATGTGAAGTCCTTGTTTGGGGAACTGGCCCCAAATTGCAGGGGGAAGAGAAAGGAATGGGACAGCTTCTGCAAGCGCTTTTATATCTTCAATAGGGAGATACTGGGGTGGGGGGTGGTAGGTGTTGAGTTTTAAAAGCCATTCTTAGGTATCTATTTACACATACATATATTTAGGGAATATATGTGTTTTTTATACATTATCTTTATTTATCTGGAGCCTCCGGATGCGGGGCTGGTCCCTTATGCAAGTACACTAATGACCAGCAGGCAAACCTGCAGGCAAACCTGGGCTGGGGGGGTATTGAACATCATGAGATGCTTACACCATCACATCTAAAACCAAACGCCTTAAAAGAGTGAAAAGTCTTGTTGCTGATGACTTCTGCTCCTAAGCACACTGTCTCTGAAGATCTACTCTGATGGGTGTCATGGAAGAATCAAGCACTAGGCTCACAAGAGAGAAGTAACAATGTATCTCACTAAATTAAATGCAATGGTAATTGTGACAGTGTTTTAGTACGATGGACAGATGGCAAAGCTCACTTAATTATTTACTACACGGAGGGCAGGGTTAAATAGAACTGCCAGGGTGACCCTCCTGTTGAATCATGAGGTTCAGAGAAGACCCCTTTGCTTTCTAAACTTCTCAGAGAGGAATTTAGCTGCAGCTGGATCCACTTAGTCCCAGACTACAAGCCCCAAAGGAAATTTATTCTAATTAAAAACAATTTAATACTCTGACAACAGTAGTAGATTACAGGGTCCAGATACCAAGCCGAATCAAATACTACACGACAGGGAGTTGCCCCAGGCAGCATCACAGCCGAAGGGGAGAGGCCTCCACTGCAGACCTACTGCTCCAAGGCGGGTACAGCCAACGGCTATCCCCAGGGGAGCAACAACCACATCCGCAACACGGCCTCTGGGAGAGGGAAAGAAACAGCAGCAACCGTTATTTATGTAGGTCACCCCTGGCGGGAGACCTTCCTTCCGCACAGGCTTCTGAAGATGCCACTTTCCCTCTGCAAATGGCACTTGTGATAAGGGAGAATCAAGTGTATTCGAGGACCAGCTTGCCGCCTGCAACACCGGGCTTAGAGGTGACCTGGGGCTACGGGAGAGGCTTTCAGGGAAGGGGATGGGTCTTCTGCACGGGGAGAGTGGGGCCGGCGGGCGCTTAGAGGGCACCTCTGGCGGGCCCGGGAGTTGCACGGTATCTGCGTCTGGGGGTCTGTCCGCCTCCTTCCCCTCTTCCCTTCCGTCAGCTCCGACCGGGCTCCCCCACCCCCCAGCAGACCGGGCCGTTTGAGGCTTCCCGTCCCGGCTCCCCGGACCCAGCGGGCAAGACCTGCATCTGCACGCCCTCCCCGCTGACCCCAACACTTTTCCGCCGCTGCAGCGTCACCCTTCGGCCACGAGGCGGCAGCACCGCGAGTACCGGCGCGCCGAGCTCCCGCCTCAGCGAGCACGTGGGGAGGCGGCGGCGGCGCTCGGTTACCGGAAGCAGCGGCGTGTCGCGTTGCTGGGCTGCAGCACCGCACATAGGTCGCTGGGGGGCAGCACCTCCCCGGGGATCGAGCGACCGAGCAGGTGCCGCTCCCGCCGCCCTGTTTATAGCACCTGAGGCGGCCGCTGCTTGCGCGGGCTGCGGAGCTTACACCGTTGTCCTGCTCCCTTGCAGTCCGCAGCTGGCATTCGCTACCTGAGCACCAAAAGCAGCTCAGCGGCTCGAGTGTTTCTGAACTTCGCGTTTGATCACTTTAGAGGCTTTTTTAGAAATTAAAAGTAGAAACTCAGCAGCATTTTGATATTTTTTTTTTCCTTTTCTTTCTTTATTATTTATTTATTCATTTTATTATTTAAAACAAAGCATAAGTGATGCTCAAATAAGTTTGTTTGAAAGGGCATCCTGTGACTTTTTCAGTGATGTGTTGCAGTGTGATGTCTGCCAAATACTTTGAGTAGAATTACTTTGTTGTACAGATCTGTTGGAAGGTTGTGTAACCTTCAGCTACCCCTTTGAGATTTTTGTGTGAATGAAAAATAGAGAAAAAAATGTATTTAAAGAAGAAGCAAGAACCTGCTTTGAGTGTGTGGGGTATGTCACTGCAGCAGTGGTTCCGTGGCCCTGCCTGCTCAGTTCTGAATTCTTACAGATCCATGTGCAGCATTTCACAGGGTAACATTTCCATAGTGGGATCCTGAGCTGAAGGAAAAGTGAAAACTTCCACTCCAAAGTGAACAAAATGTGAAACTATCAAATGAAATAAAACCTGGTGAGCCATGTGTGTACTATGTTTAACATTTTGATAATCTCAAATGTTATCAGCAGAACTGTGTTTGGTTAAGGTACAGATATTTCTGTCCTCGGGGTAAGATACTTCTATCATCAGAGTAAAATTCAGCCTTCAGTTTTGCCAGTGTGCAAAAGAGGTCATTGAAATGTTTCTAATGTTTTGTTGTCTCGTTTCAGGAATTGAAGGAGGTAGATTTTTTTTTTTTGATATACAGAGAGAAAGGAAGGTTTATAGTGATTTTACCTTGTGTCTTCCTCTCAGATTGGTAAATTGTAGTTGTCAGCAGCTTCCTTTTAGCAAAACCAACTTTGAGTTTAATAAACATCTAATGAGTGCTTATTAACATTTCCCATGTTAAGGTTATGTACTACCAATATATTTCACACTTCCAAGGGCTGGTTTTGAGAGCTGTTAAGCTTTATTCAGAGTTATTACATAGCACAATATACTTTTTTCTGTAACTTACACACATCTTAAATATTACTGTTCAAAATATGGAGCAACAATGAACTGAAATTGACTAATAATGAGTCTGTGTTAGCTGTTTGGATGACAAACTTACAGAATTGCTGAGCTAACTTCTGTATCTTCATGAATATTGAAATTAAATGCAAAAGAGGAAAATAATGTCCTAGATACCTAAGCCATTTAGGAGTGCAAGGACTTTGGGCTGTATGTTTGTCCTTAAAACTGCTGGATAAGATCTTGTTCCTATCAAAGTTGGTAGAAGTGAATGTTACAAGGCAGGACTTGCAGTAATTCCAGAGCACAGAGACATTTTTTTTTTTTTTTGTATATACAGAGGGATGGATCAGTCCTTTTCCTGTTGAAATGAAACTGTTGTGCTTTCTGGAGACAGGCATGGGCCCTCACTATATTTTTTATTTATTTTTATTTCCCCTTAGTTTCTTAGGGATCACCACTGTTGTCTCCTGTTCTTACTATTACTTGTGTCTGGAGTAGGAATAATTATGTACAGGACTACCAGTTGTATGTGTTTTAAGGAAAATTCACATCCTAACAGTTAAGCATTTTTTATACATACGTGTATCTTAAAAATAAATTAGTGAAGAGAGCCTTCTTTAAATGAGATGGGTGTTACTGAGGCTGATATACAACATACTGAAAAGGAGAGGTAGACAGGACTATGGTTCTCTAATTACTCAACTTCTTGCTCATCTGTGTTGCCATTTCCCAGTGCTGGAAGCTCCCTTTCAGGTAGCAGCCCATACTCATTTAGGAAAGACTCCACATCCACAGCAAAAAACTCCTCATTGAATTGTTCAGAAATGCTAATGAAATTGCTCAGAAGTTCCCCACCCTTATAGACAAGCAGAGTGGGAAGCACTTCATTTGAGAAGCGGTCTCCGGCCCCTGTGTTGGAGGCCTTGATCTTGCAGAACTTCACGGTAGCATACTCGGCTGCCAGGCAGATCAAGCTGTTGTTGAGAGCATCACAGCCCTTGATGCCGTCTTCGTAAATGTGGACAATGACTGTAGTGGTTTTACGTTCTTTCTCGATGGCTTCTAGGAACTGTTCCCCATTCTGCAGCTCACACAGATAACCGTATTTTGGCCCAAAACTCAGCCGCTGGTGCATATCCTGCATGCAGCGTTTGCGGTATTTTTGTAGGCAACTTTCATCTTCTTGCTCATCATGAATTAATTCATACTCCTGCATGCTCATCTGTGAATGTTTTGAGAATTTTACATTAACAAGTAGTAATCTGTTGGTGCTGAAACAGGAAGAGACTAAGTTGTTGTCTAAAGCACATCACGTTGAAAACTTAGCTAAAGGCAGTCACTTCCTACAATGACTCTGGAAGGTCTCTTCAAGAGATAGGTGAAGATGCTGTCTCAACATTTGCATGTTAACTCAATGGTATTGTAGACTGTTACATATTTGGCAAAAACTTCCAGAGTTGGTGGGAATTTTGCCAGTGACTATAGTGGAGTCAAAGTTTAATTCCTATGTTTTTTTTTTTGGGGGGGGGTGTGGTGTGTGTGTTCCCCCCTTTCAGAACTGGTAAATAGTAATGAGTAACATTCAGGCTCAGAGCTCTAGTCTGACCAATAGGTTTTTGAACATGTTAAAAAATTTTCCATTGCCTTAACCAGGGATAGAGAATGAAGGCAAGGAATGGAGAAAGAAAGGTCAGACTCTGTGTTGCATGATACGTTGTTGTGAAATTACTGCTTATTTTACTGAAGTTAGACTTTGCTTGAGAGGGGACTATGTAGATGGTTGCACGTGCATTTGTTCTGTCTATATATATTATGTGAGCTCTGCTACATTGCAAAGGAACTGAGTCTGGCAAATTCAGGATTTTCAACCAGTATGTCTTATATAGAATCAAAATTAATTTGTTTTGCTTTCCTTGTCTTACCTTACGGCAGACTCTCTCTCTGGTGTCTTTGTCATCTTTACTGAATGATCTGTGTGGTGAAGACATTTGTCTAAGAATTTCTTTCTTGCTTAAGGATAAGGAGTCTCGATCTTCACTTTCTAATTTAAACTTTCTCCAGTCATTAATCACGCCTTTGGGCCCTGAGAGATAGGAAGTAAGATGAAAAACCGTCTGTAACAAGAAACTGTCTTAAGAAGTCTCTGTCTTTACTGGCTTGTCATTCTGTGCCACAGTTTATCTGTCTGCCCCTCTTCTTTCCAAAGTGCTCTCCAGAAGTGTTGAAAACCAAAGTCTTGGGACCAATGTGTTATGTTAGCCTCCAAAAGAAAGAGTGTTTTTTTCTAACCTGGATTACTTTAGTGGTCTGGTTCCTATCAGGATCCTGTAAAAGGGTTTTGGTGAACTGCGTGAGTAGTTAACAGAGATGGGGATGTTGAAACCTGTCGAAACTGACATATTGGTCAAAGCTACTGCTGTGTAGAAGTATATTTGCATTTCTCTATAGACAGTGTATACCCTAACATTCGTAAGGACTTACAGTAAAACTAAGAATACAGGACAGTTGAGATTTTTGAAAAATAAATAGTTTTTTAATTGGCAAACCAATAGCATCTACTTGAATTCTGGGCTTTCCCAGTGAACAGGGACAGTTTAGCTTATTTTTAGGAAAAAAAAAAAAAGTGCCAAAATGCAGATAGTTTCCTTGCCTGTGTGTGTTGCCTGTCCTTCAAAATCTTCTTTGAAGCTGGTGTTGGCATTTTCTTCCATTTTGGTGGCTAGAGTAGGAGATGCTGCAAGTTCAAAAAGCAAAGCAAGTTAATAACAGCATAGAAAAGGGATAAGATTACAGCAGGTACAACACAGCTGTAATTTCCTGCAGCTGTCAGGTATCAGTAAAGATCAAAATACATGTAACTGTAGAGCTTCTCATCATCTTCTATAGAGCAATTAAATTATTTGTCAGTCTCTTAAAAAAGATGTCTCACAGATTCTTACTTGAAGTGCTTAGGCAAGACTTTCTTCATTATACTGTTCCTTCTCGGTCATCAGAGAATACCAAGAACATGGTGTGAAATAGTGGTTGTGAAACTTCCTGCAGAGGGTATGCAGACTCAAATAATGCAGGGTGCAGTGAATATTTTCTTTCTGATTTCTTTTTTTATTAAAATGGTGCATCTCTATAAAGAAGGCAACCCAAGGAGGCAGATGGCAATCTCAGGGTGCTGCAATACAGTAGTACTCAAGCAACACATTTTTTATCTTTTACAATGGAATCTTTGAGGGGTGAAGTAGAACCACTGTTCTCTGAGCAAGGGGTAGTGTATTCGTACCAAAAAGACAGGCCCAGTTGGGTGCTGCCAGAGCATTATGGAGCAGCAAGATTTGGCTAGAGCTTCAAGCTCTGAAGATCAGGCTGGTTTCTGCCGGTTCTCAAAAGTCACAGTAAATGTTCTCAGGGTTCTGCAGCTTTCTTGAGAAGATATCTGTTAAAGGAGGGTATACGGGTGCAGAAAAGTACTGATTCTTCACATGCATTTTCACTACACTGCTGATAGACATTTAGGATAGCCAATCTGCATGAGCTCTGCCACCACATAGTACTGAGTCCTTTCTCATGTTGCACGGCATTCACAACTTTCCTTTGTAATTGAAAACTAATTCTAATGTGATAAAGTGTCACTGTCCACAGGAGTCTTAAGTCAGATGATTGAAGTTCTCACATTTAGTCTAGACTAGTTTTGGCTGTTCAGATGTTATTTGATTTCACAGTAAATCCCATCTTGATGCAAATGCTAACGTTATCATGCCATGAATGCCATATTTAAAAGCTGATAGTGTGTTAGACTAAAGTGACAATAGTGTTGTAGCCTGTATGCACAGAAGGAAATGCACCTTCATTTTTACATACCAGCATCAAGGGATGAAGTGGAATAACAGCTGAGCAAGACAAGGAATCTGATTTTTCTCTATGTTGGAACTAAAGCTGATCAGTAAATGTGCAATTAAAGTATATGTATACTCATGGCAATTAACTGACACTTGTGAGAAGCATTGCAAATAATATTGGAAGAAAAGCAGGTAACAAATAATACTTCACCAATGTAAATTCTTTCTGTAAATAGATTGTTGTCAGCATATAGATCCAGGGTATTGGTTCACGTGCTATTAAGTTGATATCAAAATAGAAATATGAAGCTAATCCCTTTTCATGTATGCAAAACTAAAAATCTTTGTTTTGTCAGGGTTGGACAGCTATGTGGGTATGCTGGGTCAAAGCCTTGTAAATCATTCTGATGACTTACACAGACATTTACAAAAAACTTTTCTTTCTGTCTGCTGATGTTGTTTTTCTTTGTCCCATGGGGAAAGAGAGGGTATGATTCTGAATGCTTTGCTTTTTCATAGCTTTTAGCCCTGAAACACACTAAAAATATGGGATATGAAACTTAAGCAGTCTGTTGCAGGCTCAAACCAGAAAGCTGATTGCACTTTTGGTGAAGCATTAGGGATGGGAACTGATTGCTTAACAAATGAATGCTCTCCATAAAGCTTATGTTACTGATCTATTGTACCTAATAAATCTGGAAAGATTAGGTGAATTGCAACAGCATGGATAGCTGCGTTTCACCATTCTGCACTTTGGTATGAGACAACAATGCTGACAAGGCACAGGCTGGCAAGCTGCCCATGGGCCTGGCCCTGTGACTGAGTCAGGCTCTGAGCCTGGAGAAAGTCATGCAAACCATTCTTCTTTCTGCTCAATGGAGTTGTAAGCATTTATCGTTATTGTTTTGGCACTGTGAGAATTAGGCCATCCAAGCCAGGTGTTTTCCAGTTAGGTGCCTGAGGACAAGGGCACATAAACATGTAACTGCAAGGTGATCCGTGGGAATCTTGGTTATAGGATGAGCTGGCTCTTCTGTAGTACATTTCCTTTCAAGAAAGTGCTGTGGAAAAAGGTGTAAGCTATTGCTATTTTATTTTATTTTATGTTTTTAGTGGTGAGGTGGTGTTCTTCAATATGCTGGGCAAGCAGCATTTTCCAAAGGAAAAAAGAAATACGTTCCTAATATTTGGAGAAATGTGGGTGCTACCAGGTCTGGAGCATGTTGTGCAAGTGTCTCCATGAGGAAATGTGAATGCATAATGCTGAGACAGTAAAGCAGATGGTGAGTGTCACAGATCATCACAGGGTGTCTTAGATCTGAAGTTCCCACCTCCTGGCTTAATAGGTGTGCTGACATCTGGTGTGCCCCGCAGCTGGGACAGGGAGAGCCACCCTCTCTGCAGGACAGATGCTCTTGTAAAAGCAGCTGCACTTTGCAGCCCAGTGGACAGACCTCAGCACACACATTCACACTAAGCTGCAAGTGGGTCATAATTGGTTGACTGACAGTGCTGTCTTTTAGAAATTTGTTAAGGTCATCTGTTAGTACAAGCCCCTAAAGCCTGAATCAGCCTGAGAGCATCATGGAATGCAGAGGGCAAAGGCAGCACTTAGCTGCATGGGGATAGTTGCATTTGATAGGGATGAGCTTGCATGCTTTAGAATGTACATTCCCAGCCATTGCAACCATCTCTTATAGATTCCTTACTGTTTTAAATTAGTTTGTTGTTTTGTTTTTTTTTTTTTCCATGTAAATGTGCAGCCTCAAAATTCTGCTAAATACTTGCTTGGGGTAAGAGTATACAGTGAGAGCAGATTTTCCTGAGAGTGTAGTCAGGTCAAACAGCAATGCAGCAATGGCAAAGTGTCTTGTTAGTTCTAAGGAAGTACCGACAGACTTCTCAGGGAACTATCTGCATTGCTACTGATCCCAGGTTTTCCCCTTTGCACCATTTTAGCAGCATGTGATGTGCCAGATCAACAGCAATCTTTGTGGGGAAAAAGTTGCTGATCTAGAAGATATATTCCATTTTCATTAGCTTTTGTCATTGGTTTTGACAACTGAAAGTGGCTCCTGATATTTTTATTTGAAAAATGCTAATGGAGAGAAAAATTTTCCTCATCAGGTCTGCAGATCATCAATGTATTAGACCGTATTTGTAAGGCATATGGTGACTTCACATACACATTTTAAGAGAGTGATCATTCTAGAACTTTACTGTCTTTATGTTGGACTTTCTGTGTGAAGAAAGCAAAATTACAGTTTCTTCGTAGAGGAGATGTTGAGACCTATCTGTGTCCCAAAAGTCACTTCAGCAAGAAAAAAAAACAAACCCTTAGGTGTATGTCTGAAGCTACCATTTAATTTCTATGAGCTTTGGATGTGTAGTTCAAGAATATCAATTGCTTTTACTGATGCTCAACCTTCTGTTGTCCTTAGACCAGATGGGCCAGCCTTACTAAGGGTAAAAATGACCATTTAATGAAGTGTTTCCTTTTCATCCAACATGAAAGAATGCTCTTTACTTACTAGCAAATATTTTGTGCCTTTGGCCTTCACAGAGAGTTTTCTGTTTACCCAAAATTACGATTTTTTTTTTTCTCTTATGCATAATGAATTTCTAAGGTAGCTCAGGAAGAATGTGCTGTACCTGTGTATTTGTAATGAAGGTTTATTTAATCCGTATAAAAATACTGCAGCTGTAAATACAAAACCCTGTGTCTTCTAGTGATAAATTATAGTTACAGAAGAGAGGGTAATAGAAAGTAATAACCTCTAAAGAAAATGTAAAAGGCAAGATGCATTCTGTAAAGGAAAAAAGCCAATAAATAAAACTTGCTGTCTAAAGAAAGAGTTTTTGCTGCTAGTCCAGTAAGTAAACAAGAGAAATATTTTTCTCAAAATATAAACATGCTCTAGACATTGCTGCTTTTCATATGTGCAAATCCTGCCAAAAATGCTGTTCTGTGTCTGGGTTTACATAAGGCCATCAATCAGCAGCATTCTGATAATGCCCAGCAATAAGTGGGACATTGCATATGAACTGGCATGTATGAAAGTTTGAAGGCTTATGTAAGAATGAAAAGTAAAGGATCTTTGTCAGCAAGCTCTTATTTTACATTTATGTTTTGAGCTACATATAGGTGGCTGGTCAGCTGGTATCTGTGTCCAGAGTGTCTCCTTGGCTCTTGCCTCTTGGGAAAAGTGTCTGAATTTTAACAGCATTTCCCTCTACCCAAGCACTAATTTGAATCTCCCTTCTCTGCCTGTTTTTCCTGGTTTCCATATGCAGAATTCCTTGCCTGTTTACTCTTGTTCCCTCTGTCAAACGATAATGGCTACCAAACTTACTAGGCATATAGGCAGCTTCTTCAGCAAGCAAGCCAAGAGAAGGACCAGCTATGGATTTAAATGTTTGTGTTGCTGGAATTTTGGGGAATCAATAACATGGAACTGGTAATAGGCATTTTTCACTCCTGCCTAAGCAGTGGACACATCCCAGTGTAGCACAATCGAGTAAATCCTCTGTGTGTGAGGTGCTGCACCTGCTTTATGGAGGGGTCCTCCTGTGTTAGCAATTGTGACAGATTTCCAAAGACCCTAATCCAGAGCTCACTGATGTCATTGAACGCTTCTTAATAACTTCAGTGCACTGCAGGATGTCATCGGCAGCACTGAGCAGAAGTGGCTGAAGGTGTATTTGCATGTGATTTGCATGGTTAGGACATGCCTGCTTCAGCCCCAGCTGTGATCTATTTCATAGCTACTATACTTGGTCATATATCCATTTAGATTTGCAAGAGGCATTAGCATCATTAGTTAAGCAACATCAAGGTCAGAGGTCAGAGTCTCAGACCTTTTGCCAGCACGTTGCACAGG